TGTGAGGAAACGCTGTACATCCCTGGTGCGTAGGGTGCGGGCCAGCACCAGTGGTATCCTGAGAGCATTTGCGGAGAGGTTTGATTGTCAGTATCTGAATCATTGTCATATGATCCATATACTGAAAATCAAGCCTCACTAAAGCTCTGTCAACCGCATATTATGTAAATGTTAATTAGCTTTAGGGGTGTATTATTAACTTTAGGATAAGAAAATGTAACTAACATTGACTATGGTCCCAGTTGGTCGAAATAAAGATGTTTGAATTTGAATTTGAATTTGTTATTATGTTTAAAGATAATGGCAAAAACCGGACGGATTTTTCGGCCAACCCATTACATGAATGTGTATTAAATATTACTCAAACAGGAGTCTGGATATTGTTTTTCAATGTTCAGTATTTTGTGGCATCGAGCCTTTTGTATTTTTTTTAAATTTGCTTATACTTCGGACTTTTAAGTAGTTTTTAGCAATAAAATGAAAACTCCTTGTATAAGTAATACCAAATGAATACAAATAAATATCTACTGGTAAGATAAATCATATTTATTTATGTACATATGGTTGCATTTATTTACAAGATTTTTTACCAGGAAAGTCATTATGACAATCGGTATCTATAGATCAACTGATCAGCGACCTTTTTGGGTGACTCTATGTACTGAGAAATAGGATTTCCTTATTAATTACCGTAAATATGAACGCCCCCTCAAGGATATGCGACTTTCATGTGCACGTGTTTACTGGGAATTACTTTGTAGAAAATATGTACAAGTGCGTTGTATATAATTCGTGAAGTATTTGTTATCGTAAAGTAAATAAAATTGCTTTGCTTACCTTTACCTCCTTAATGTGGTGTACAGCGTTCGCATATCACAAAAACTGAAACAAGGACAAAGAATTTAGTGTTATATATATATGTATTATAGTTTTATAGTTACTTAGATAACTTTGGAAATAATAAAATATAGGTTAATCAGTTTCAGTTTTTCGTTACAAATACTTTTTGTAGGACCAGACTTCCCTTGAAAGTGGTTCACGAAATGAAATGTGGGCCAGCATAATAATCAATAAGAGTTCAGTTCGTTAATTGCTCATTTAACAACGCTCTAGTTTTTACAGCTTAATAAAAAATATGTTCTGTTAAGCGGCAGGGTCCGGAGCAATTCACTGGTAGATGTGCGCACGGCAAGAGCTATAAGTCCTAGAAACATGAAAACTTGAGGGTTTGTACTTTTATTTAGTGTAGGCGTATTAAGAACGGATTTTTCGAAATTGAACCACAAAGAGGGAGAAAAAGGGTAACGATGTTTGTATGAAAATTCGTATTCCTTTAACTTACAAAGATGAAACTAATAAGTATTTTATAATGCAAATAATAAAAGATTGATATGACATTCTAACTAAGTAGCGGTGAAATGGGGTATTAAAATTTGTATAAGAACATTAACCCATGGTGCGATTTGTTTCAAATTTGGTTTGTATACTTTAAATATAAGATAAATAAACATGTCCTTCAGGAGTTTTTCAAAACAACCCCAATTAGGCGTAAGTTCGTGAATCAAAATTGTATAACTGCTAGTCGCATACCACGTAAAGCGAAAGACGGTGCAGTGTCCGTTGGCAGTGATGTTCTGTCTCTCAGGGTGTGCCGTTTAAACCACTAAGTCTACTTAATTATCTGTCAAACTTTTGGCCTAGTAGAAACGACAACTCCGAGCCGGAAAGATCCAAACTGATATTATAAATGCGAAAGTCACTCTTGTCTGTTACGTTTTTACACGTAAATTGGTGAACCAATTTTGATGAATTTTGGTATAGAGATAGATGGGAAATAGATGAAGGACATAGGCTACTTTTTAACACAAAATAAATCTAAAAAAATAGTACCACTTATGACTCGTATCAGAAGTAGCCACAACAGCATTCTAAAAATGGAAATGCAAGCAGATTTGATTGTTCACTTCTAAAGTAGTGGGTTGGGCAAACCAAATCTGTATGTATATATATTTAATAAATATTATGTTATGTTGTGTCGTTGCCTCCTGTATACTAACCAATTCTGAGTGAAAATGTTACTAACAAATTATATGGGTCTATGCCCGAAATAAATAATTCTATTCTAAATCTTAAGGGAGGTGAAATTGGGGACGAAAGTGTGTACGGAGAACCAATAAAACTATGAAAGTAGGCTACTCGAAGTACTTATTCTACAATGGCGAAGTCGCGGGCACTAGGTAGTACAATATAAACGGCACCGTTATATCTTTCACCCCACACGTCCAGAGTGCAGGTATTGTTACACACGTTTAAGTATAGAATAGAATTCAAATACAGCTAGTAATTCACTATACAACCAGCAGTAAACCTACAACACCCATGAAGTGCCCCCGGTAGTTATCACAGTGTAAACAAACATAACTGAAAACATTGTTCAATGTTTGTATGTAGCTTATCACGAGGGCTGTCGGCATATCTTGTTTCATTAATACTTAAAACATAAAAGTTGTCGTAGCGCAAAAATGCATTCAATGAAATCTGGAATGGTGTTATATTTAATCTCTCGTTGTGCTCTTGTTAAAATGGATTACAGAAAACTTTGATTTTTGCTCTTCTGGATCAAAATGAGCATTTTTAACTGAATAATCCAAATCTACTCTTAGTACATAACACTCTGAATTTCTTAATAATTTCTAAAAGCAGACTTTATCAAATCGGTGTATTATAATAATCTCAGTACAGAGGACTAAAAAACCGACCTTAAAGTTCGTGGAATTACATCTATTTGCCAAGTTTTGTAGAAATCGGTTACCGGAAAGTTCGCGAAACCAAATTCATCCCCTAGTATGCCACCGGTTGAGGTGGAATATTTTCTTCAAATTGAAATGAGACCACTACTGAGGTAACCTCTTTCCAACAAAAAAGAAGCATCAAAATCGGTTCACAAATTTATCGCGTAACCGGAGTTATCGCGTAACATACATACAAAAAGAAAAAAGAAAAACATAATTATAGTCGAATTGAGAACCTTCTCCTATTTTTAAAGTCGGTTGAAAACGGTGTACTGTAGTCTAGGCTCTACTCTATGAGTAGAACTACTGGCTGAGTGAATATAGTTTTGTATTTAGAATGTGTTTGAAAAAATAGGTTAGGAAAAAGAACATCTTGAGAGATCTAAAAGTAGCCTCAAGAAGTAGACATGTAAGAAAAATATAATAAATATCAAGTTATGAAGTTAATCCCAGTTTATATTTATAAAGTACTTCTCGCTACGCAACCTAAGCTACGCCCCAGGTTACAAATGGTGGAGGCACGAATTCCGATGTTAAATTTTTTTATATATTTTATTCTTGTGAAATCTCTGAAGGAATGGAAGAGATATATAATATAACTCAAGCCTACACATGATGGAAACACTTCCAACGAAGAAAACTCCGATATGAAAAAAAATTATATGTTATTACGACAAACCTGCAGGAAAGCGTACATAAGGTCGTAGTTTATATTTTTACTTATTTAATATTGTTTTATAATTGATACCAGTGAAAAGTGCAAGAAGAGAATATGTATTGTATACCGGCACAAAGGTTTACTGGATTCAACGACGTAGACGAGTTTTTGAACCAATTTGAGGCCATCAGCGTATTAAATAATTGGTCTGATGTGCATAAGAGATACGTGTTTGCATTGTATTTGGAGGGGCCAGCTCTACAATGGTACAAAACGTATTTTTCTTCATACGCGACGTATGATGTAATTGCACAGAAGTTAAAAGAGGAATTTCCCTCACAGATAGACTATGCCCGAGAGTTTTATTATAGGCGACAGGGGCCTAACGAATCGCTGACAAGTTATTTTTATAGTTTAAATAAGTTAGCGACGAAAGCGAATATTCAAGATGTTCAGTTTATTAGACATTTCTTGAAGTCTTTGATACCCACTTTTCAATGGATGCTGGCTAGTAATTTGAATTTGTCGAAAGAGGAGTTGAGAAAAACAATTATACAAGTAGAAGATATATTTAATCACGGTAACGATGTGGGTCGACAAAATATTGAATTGCCAGTATATTTTCGTAAGGAGCACTCTCACTGTTGGCAAACACCTTATATCCGATGATAGTTACACCCGAGTCTAAACAGTCGGAATATCTAGTGCCACGAGCACCAGTCGTGCAGCAGGATACGCCACGTCAAGTGTATTCATGGGCACATGGTAGAGGATCTTCGTCGGGATCTCCTCAACGTGGATGTCAGCAAAGCGCAACTGAACATTAGAAAATTTGTCTACAATTGATAGTTTTAGTGTAGATAGAGCACCTTTTATATCTGTTTTTATTAATGATGTAAGTTGCGAGGAGTTGGTGGATACTAGTGCTTCGGTTTCAATATTTTTGCAGAAAGGTTACATTTGCATATTGATGATATTCCAAGTTTTCCATTGCGAACAGTGGGCGGAACGCCAATAAATGTGCAGTCGTCCACCAAAGTGTCGTTGACGATTAGTGGAAAGGAGTTTCCATTAAGGTTGCTGGTTGTACAGGATGTTGAGGAACATCTTATTTTAGGCCAGGATATTTTGAAGAGGTGTGATTTCAAGTTGTCAAAATTGAAAATTGACAACAAAATTTCTTCTAAGTCTATGACAGATATTGGGTCAAAGAAAGAAAAGTCTTCTTTCAAACCGGTATCAAAAAGTTTAGATAACTTCCCGCTAAATAATTTGGAGTATGTAAACTCTTCAGTTTTGGCCAGAGTAATGAAAAAAGTTGACGTAAGTGATAAGACGAGTCAATTGCGTCAAAAGCGTAATTTACATGAAAGTAAGAATAAATATGTTTTGCCGAAGGTAAAAATAAAACATAGTTCGGAAAGTGACATTTTTAACCGTGTTCGCGTGAGTGTTGCAGAGAATTTACAAGGCAAGTTTATGAAACGAGCAGCCTTGATAGATTCTCGTAAAGAATGGATAGATAATTTACAATCCAAGTAGAAGCGAAAATTTGATAAAAAAGATAGAGCTGCTTTGATATCTAGGAGATATGATATGCGGAAGTTAGGGTAGTAGATGGGTTGAGTAGAGTTAATTGTATTGTGAGAAGATTAGGTATAAATAGGAATAGATCGGGTAGGCAGGATCTAGTCCATGTAAATAGAATGAAAAGGTTCTGTAGTAGGTAATTGAATGTTTTTTAGTTTCTACTAGGTTAATTAATCTTTTATATTTGTTTTTCATATGGAACCATGATGACACTGTGACGAATGTTTTGAGGGAAGTTGTTATTTTCCGGCAAATGTAGACTTGGAAAGACGGGAGGAGAAGATTGGACCGACTTGGATTGGATAGATATAACTTACTTTTTATTATTATTTTTAATTTGATAGATATATTGTCCTGTGTGTGTGCATAGTTCGTGGTCACCCCTCCCAGATGAACAAGAACTGTCTGCATTCGGGGAAAATAGATTTATTTAATTATTAGGAATCCTACATTTGGTATACCCCCATTCTATATGTATGTTCGGAAACGTTGTTAGGGTTATTTGTGAGTTTGTTCTGGTTTGTTTAAAGAAAGTGAGAAAAGCTGATGGAACGTGGATAGCTGCAGGATGAGGACTAAGGCAGCTGGGAGATCAATATTGATGTTACCCAGTGATCGTCTGATGGATGCTCAAGCCTGTGTCGTCGTTGTAACAGCGTGCACGTTGAAGATAATTTAGTGATGCATTTAGGAAGTTTTAGTAGTGATATTTAAGGATTAGTTAGGAACATTCAGCCAAGCTGTATATAGTAGCTGGAATAAAGAGTTAGGATTTAGACAGGTTACCTAAATAGCTAGGATAGCTGACGAGTAATTATATTTTGAATTGTTTGATTAGGATG